GAAACTTAAACTCAAATTTGGTATTTTTCTCTCTCTTTTTTTTTATTTTTTCTTTTTTTTTTTGAAATTTGAAATTTAACTTCAAATTCAGATTTTGAAATTTAAATTCAAATTTGAATTTTAAAATTAAAAAAATGCAAGCAATTCACACACACGACCTATGCATTGACCTAGGGTTTCCTAAACTAGTGGTTTAACCAATGTGAATCCTTTTAGGTTCACTTGGAATTACATCACTTCCTTTGGTTAGCCAGGTAAGAGGTGGGGATGTGGGAGGCTCCCCTTGCTCTCACAAGGACCTAATTAATTAACTACAAAACCCGCTTAGGCTTATCCATTTAACCTCTTTCCTTAGACACCAACCGCTGGTTATGAAAAGTAATCACAAGTTTCCCTAAAATTCAACACACTTTTGAACCAAATGTAAGGCTCCCTAAGGGATCTTGCTATCCAGATTTTAAATTAGAGTTTATGGTGAACCGCATGTGAAGGATGGTGATTTTTGGGCCAAGGAAGGGTGATGAAATCCCCACCTTATCTTATTTAAGTTGGATTGCCCTTAAATGGATTAACGGAAAGAAATAAAATAAACAAAGCAAATGCAACTAATTACAATGAACGAACAATTATTTCTAATATGCAAGGAGAAGAGGAAAATAGTTAATCTAAGGGCATCATCATTAAAGTTCTGGATCCTTACAGTGGAACAAATTTTTAGAAACTGGTCTATGTGTTTGTATGGGTCCTCACTCGGGTTCCCATAGAAAGAGGGGAGCATCTAGATTGTGCTTGACTTAATCTCATACTACAAGGCTTGGGTGTTTGGCAATTGTACGAGTCCTCTTCATGGGGAGGCATTGACCCCTAACAGAAAACAAAAAGAAGAAAAGGAAAGAAGAAAGAACATCTTTGGCAAGAAACTCAAGTTGCATTCACTTAAGTGTCCTTACAAAAAAAGGCCTCTTATGGGGGAGGTGTCGTCCCCTTACAAAAAAAAAAAAAGAAGAAAAGTATGCAACTATCAAGGGAACACATGCCTAAACAAAAGAAAACAAATAAAAAAGTTTATTGGCCCTCTCTTGTCTAAGCGGTGGCCTGGGTAATGGTGTTGGTAGTAGCATCGACGATTGGGTTGTCGTCCGTCCCTAGTATATCTACTATCTGTCGAGCTTCAACGGTGAACGGATCCAACTGGACGATGTCGAAGCTCAGAAGGACCTTCATCACCTCGTCCTTGCAGTCATCGAAGCCCTCTAAGTAAGCTTAGGAGGCAAAGGAGGTCAATTTCATTTCATGTTCCTCCGAGGTCTTATACTTTTCAACCGCCTTTATGGCCAACTCCTCCAACTGCTACTCCATTGATGCCAATGAGGACTTTAGCTTCTTCAAGAGCTCTTTATTATTGACCACCTCAGCCTCGACCTTATTGCAATGATCATGCTCGTCACGTGCCCATCCCTTGGCCGCTTGCTGCTTCAACACTTGATCTCTTCTGGCGTCCACCGAAGTTACCGAATCAACACCTTGACCTTATCACAAAGGCCAACTGAGCAAGAGACCATATGCACATAAGAAAGGAAAAACATCAGTCACATACCAAGAAGACCTCGGTGACACGACGGACTCAAAGTGTATATATATACCTCAACGGCCTTGTCTAACAGCGTGTCTTGGACAGAGTCCACCGAATATTGTGTCTAGGACTGGTGGTCCCCAGGGAGGACCATACCGACAAGGAGTCCCCCTCTTGGATACTGTCCAACGAGTAGTGAGCGGCTCATTGTCCTGCGGATCAGACGACCGAGGCTCCGCTTGAGGTCCCCTCGGGCTGACGCTACTCGTGCAGCTAAAGCCTTTTGGCCTGAGGGTCTCGAGTTGTTTCGGTAGGGCGCTTCTAGTAGGTTCCTTCCCGATGTTCTCCCAGTAGGTTCCTTCCCGGTGGCTCTCTTAGACGCTACTGCCAGCAATTTCGCCTTCTTGTTGATCTCCATTTCTGCAAACAAAAGAAGCAAACATCATTTTCACCTCTCGAAGATGGGCCATTACCAATGCGACCACTATCGCCCTAACGACGTTGGGGGCGAGCCAGCTAAGGGTGAGATTGTAATGGTTTAGGATCTTAGGGATGATGGGGTTCAAGGTAAACCACAGCCCAAAGTGAAGGTAATGCTCGTGGATTGACACCTCCCCTTAAAGAGCAAGCCACGACCTATCACACACGTAGGGAACTCTAACCCTGTAGTCCCCTGGAATATAGTATCTCTCGGCCAACGCACTAACTTGCACCTTGCCGAGAGTGTTGTCTAAGTTAGAGGGGGGGTAATGCCCCAACATCATGTCTCGGCTTGCTCCTTGATCGTGGACTCCTCAACATCTTCCACATCCACCACATCAAGGTGCACAAGAGCATTCGCTTGGGCATTGGCCCTCGGCTGTGTGGAACCAATGCTTTCATTGGTAGAGCCCGCACTCTACTAATTGTGCTTGGCTCCACGAAACGCGACTCTTCCACTCAGCACTTGGGCGCTAGACGTTCGAGAGAAGCTCTTACAGTCACTACTATTCCTGCCATCATTACTAGGAGTGCTACTAGGAGTACTCCAGTCAGGAAGGTTGTATTCTTCACAACCCGAATCCAAGGCCAACATGTTGAGGATAGGAATCATTTACCTAAAGATGTTTGCTAAAGAAGGTTTAAGGGAATTGGTTGTTGATAGCTAAGGTGTCTTCAATAGCTCCAAAGCAGAAGGTTTCAAGCAAATGATAGGAAGTCACTCAACCAACCTCCCTATTTAAAGAAAAATGTACGACTCAGATCCAATTGATCCAACAGTCGTGAACTTGCCAACCTGATAGCCTGAACTGACTGACTCCACATGGCACCAACCTCGGGAGACGAAACAACGCAAAGAGACAGGGCTAGTTCCCCCATCGACTCCGGGTCAAGGATACGTTGAACTAGACCCCCTGCACCGTCTTGTACATGGCCTCATTCTGTTGACCTCGACACTCATCCTACGTACGGACACACGACACCCGTCTTGTGTATGGACATATGACGCGAGACATCAACGCCCATGCGAGGCACAAATAGCCTATGCCAACGTGGGGACGATCACGACCCCTTATCCTGATATGGTCTGTTACTAACGCAATGGGAGAATGGAGGAGCAGTCGTCGCACATCCCCTGAGAAGAGCTCTGCACCCGAGGGCGACGCCTCCATGCAAGCACACTATGCTCTCTTTGTCCGAAGCCGAGGCCTCAACACAACCCGCCAAACAACCTCGATTGCTATGGCCTTGAGAGTGGGGCAAGTGATATAGGGGTATTCGGCCGACCTGTAGATCCTGACACGTGGCATCGGTCGAACGCATCCCGGCCATCCCGCGGACCTTGACACGTGGCATCCGCCAGACATATCCTAACCACCCATTGCCAACCACTGCCAACTGCCACCACCTACTCCCAACTACTCCTCTCAGGCAACTCTGACTATAAAAAGGGGCTCCCACATTGAGTTAAACACACACCGGAACTTAAGCTCTAAGTTTTCTCTCTTTCTTGATTCGACCCCTCAAAGCTCTCAGCTAATTTGATCATTGGAGTCTCTGCCCTTAGGATACCTCTCAGGGCTTTTGACATACTTCTTCTCTTAACAGGTTGGACCCGCCGGCCTTAAACTCTATTAGTGGAGGTGTTTTGAACTTTGAAGGACGCTTGTATCCATAATTCAAAGTGAAAGTTTTACCAATTGATATGTAGTATGGTACACAAACAGCCTTGTGAAAAGCAGATCTAGAGACAAAAAACGTTTTGGTGTAGCGTGTGTATACACACGCCCTAGTCCAGCCTGGCTTGTGTGTTGGAACAGCACCCCAACCCCACTTATATGCATGTAGAGATATATATTGCTCTTATCCTATGGGTCCCTAATAATATACTTAAAGCCAATTCTTTTTCCAAGCAATTTGGGACAAAAGTCTCCCATATGCAGGAGGAGGGAAAGAGAGAAAAGACAAAACTAAAACAAAAGGAGGGAGAGAGGAGATTCTTGAAATTTTGAATCTCCCTCTAACGGATCAAATCCAAATAATTATAGGCTCTCCATGGTAAGATTAGTGAACATCACTTGCAGCCTATTCATAGTTTGTCCTGCCCCCATTTATTCCCATTATGCATAATATGTAATACCAATTGAAAAAGGGAAATTTTCTTAAACTATCCCTAAGTTTTAGGAAATTGACTTACCCCTATTGTTTGAAGATTGACTTGAACTATCCCTAAATTTTCTGACTTACCCCTTACATGTGACACCACAAGACATATAAAATTTTAAAAAACCCAATATTACCCTTTATGTCGATTTGAACCTCCATTATTCTTCAAATTTTCAAATCTAAATAGTGGCTGTGAAAAGCTTCTAACCATTTATAGGTTTCAACAGTGGCTATGGAAATTATCTATCCATTTACAAGTTAAAACCCATGGAAAACAAGGTTCTTTGTACAAGTTCAAACCGTCATCCAAAACTTTCCAACATGTTCTGAGTCCACACATCTCATATATGGTTGCTCTTAGTCTTATGGTGATGAGATGTATGGGCACAATAGGGGTGCAACTTGGGTGGACTTGGATTAGGCTTTTGTCAAATTTTAAATGACCCAACCAGAAGGCCCAAGCCTGAAGCAGTGTAAAATGATAACTGGGACCACCCCGAATTGCACTCCTATACGTATACGTATATCATATTGGAGCTCCAACTGACTAAAGAATATAAACCATAGATAATGTTCCTAGGTTCATTTACTCTCTTATTATATATACTATATAAAGTGGTGTGGGCCATAAAAATTAAATCCAAATACCATAATTATATATTAATACTTAAAATACATGCATATATACCACATGCTCTTACACTTTTTTTAGATAACATAAATGAAATTAGCTAACTATCTTAGTAATATTACTTATGTATACAAATCACATCACACGGTATACTTCCAACACAAGGTTGATTTCGACAGTATAAAGAATCATAAAAACACAGCTAGGCTGGTATTCATTAGGTGGCCTGAGATGATACGATTTGTTTTCTCTGTGGGGTGGAAGGAATCCCAAAATACATATTTGTTGGCATCGGAGCATGTAAATGGATTAAATTGATCGCATAGGTAACCCGCCTCAAAAATTCCAGTTCCACAACACGCCACTGCAACACTCTCGAATCCTGTTGTCAGTTTAAAACAAGAAAATTAAAATGAGTGGTTGAATACTAAGCCCTTTCTTAATAAAGGGGATACAACTTTAATTATGAATTAAGAAGTAAGGTCTCGTTTGATTCATGGGAATAGGAGTCTGGAATCAGAATCGGAATGGGCTATTCCAATTCCAATTGTTTGGTTGGATGGAACCAGAATTCCAATATCCCATTGCTTGTCATAAATTTTCTTTAAGAGAAGTGAAGATCCCCAATCTAATTTTCAAAGCTGATAGATATATACCGCAGTGGCATTCTCAAATTAAGGCTGTGTTTGTTTGTGATGCAAACCTGAACCAGATGCAGATTTTGCACCTGGTTTAATTTTGCATTTGTTTGCTTGTGATTATGACTTGCATTCTTACTTGATGTAAAAACAATATATTTAGAAAATGGGTGTGCTAGAAATGCAAATGCTAAGATAGATAAGTGGAAAAACTAGAAAAGATAGGACTAGGAATGAAGTCATTTATAGAAACCTAAGACTACAATAAGTGATAAAATGAGAGAGAGAGAGAGAGAGAGAGAGAATAGGCTAAGATGTGTTGGTCATGTGCATAAAAGACCATCAGTAGCTCTAATTAGAAGATGTGATTTATTACAAGTAGAAGGGGTTAGAAGAGTTAGGGGGTAGACAAAAAAGAACATGGTTAGAAATAGTAAATAAAATGATTTAAGCACTAATAATTCAATAGTGGATATGATTTAAATAGAGCAGAGTGGTGAAACAGGATTCATGTACCTGACCCCATATAGTTGGGATAAGGCATGGATGATGAAGATAATGATTCTTACCTGATGCAAGGTTTGCACTTTTGTCTCATTTACATCTTTTAGCAGTGCAAATTTTGTATTTGAAAAACTGATAAACAAATTTGAACCATGCCTTCCTAACTCAATTCTCTCTCATATAGAATGGAGATCGACTACATCAATTTGCCTCATACCTTGCTTCCCCCCAAATAAATAAGCTTTCTCCCGTCTGATTTCTCTTTTGTATAAATTGGTGATCACATATCTTACTTCCTATTTTACTTCTTACAAACAAATAAAAGGTCAAAATCTGTAGCAAAAATAAACTAGGATTTACACAGAGTCCATTTGCAGTCCTATGCATTTACACCAGTGCAAATGAAAGTACAAAACCCAAGTCAAAATAGCAGTTCTAATGCTCTTATAAAATTCTTAAAAGAAAAGTTATAAGGTATTGGATCAAATAAAAAATATTAAAGCCATTTATAGGGTAGCTTCAGTAATTTTTTAAAATAACTCGTAATTTAATAATTACATGTATTCAGAATTACATTAATTGTTCCACATCAACTCTCTCTCTATTCTTCCTCTCTACAGACCTTTTCCAAATTATGGTGTTTTTTTTCTTCATTAAAAAAATATGAAAATTTTGATTTGCTTCTATATGGCTTAAATATTAGCCAGTATAGTTCATATTCACTGGGTCCCACTAATTCTCACCTCAGTTGTCAGCTGACTCAGCTCTACTCCCTCAATGAAGGATCTGGCCATGGGGATTTCATTGACGAACTGGTAATCAGGTCGAACATCTGAAGAAAAAATATAAATGGGGTGGGATGCTCGTCGGGCAAAAATTTTCGGGGTGGTGGTGGACCAACTAGTATTAGTAGTAGAGACAGGAGAGGGCTGTTTGGTCCAAGTCCTCATTATTATAGAAGGTACGTTCTTCTGTCCAGCTACTTTTCCAATTTTCACTGGCATGTGATATGGTGAATGTGATTGTGAATCACAATATATGTATATATATACAACACAAGGACGGTAGAAGTAAACAAGCATTAATTGCATAGCATTTAACCAGCCCACCAAACAGATGCTGACCCCATAATAAGTCTCAGACTCTCAATTACCGACCGTAATGGGCTTCGAAGAAATTACCAACTGTAGCAAGCTTGTTGGATCAAATGTAGGGACGTCAAAGGATCGGGTTTGTCTACCTGGCCTTAAACTCAACCATCCAATGCATTCACTCGAATCTGATCTGATTTGGGTTCATCTCCCTTCTCTCTCTCTCTAGATCTCCTTAAAAAAAAATGGTTTAAAAAGAAATCCTAGGCTCCGAGGTTACGGTGTTAACAAGTATATACCAGATCTAGACCAAGGTTTTTTTTTTTTGGTGGAAAGAGATTCATTACGAAAGCAAACAAACACCCGAAGGGAATAGACCCAGGATACAGAAAACACAGAAACAAACAGCAGAAAGAAAAACTACTCGTTACTAAAACAAAAACAGAAACCAAACTAGGGAGCATCTCCCAAGTCAACAGAAGAACGATCAGCATCGAGCATAGCATCAAGCCACTCTGGATCAGCATTAAGCAAGATGGCTGAAAACTTAAGGCCCCGTTGGGCTGTATGCTCTGTTAGCTTCTCTTCTAACCCAGTTGAAAGAAACATTCAGGTTCCTGCATAAGAGACCAATCTCTTTAACGCAAAAATAAATCTCCTTTGGACAGCCCGAGGACTCCATGGTAAGGGACTGAACTAACTGCTCACAATCACTTTCCAATCCAAAGGAATCAATATTTAAACTCTTTGTCAACTTTATAGCTTCCAAAACTGCAATAGCTTCAGCATGGATGGGAGAGGAGGTTCGAAGCCAACTCAGGTTTGAAGCATGATCAAAACCATAACCCGATCCTACACCTGTATAAAACTATAACTGACCCTAACCCATATAGGTTTAGGTCAAGCTGAATTTATCATTGAACCTGACCAATGACATCCCTAATTAACTGAGTTTTCTTCACCCAAATATCTTGTCTTGAGGAGTGACAACAGATAAAAGTTGTTTTTAATCTTTTTCAAGGATAGATGAGGGGTATTTTTAAGGGACAGGTGACAAAAAAATTTAAAAGTGATCTGTTATCGTTTGATGTATACATGGGGAACGTGGCTTCTCTCTCTCTCTGTTTTTTTTTTGTGGGTGGGGGGGGGGTGTTAAAGGGTAATTAAGCAAGACTTACCAAACGAAGAGGGATGCTGAATGACTTCCATGAGTGGGTCATAGGGGTTTGAAACGACCACTTTGATCCCCGGAAGTTCCTTGTTCAACTTCACTGCCAGATTATGCAACTTGACATTGAAATCCCTGCCCACCTTATTGTATTCCTCAACACAACCATTCCCATACATGTTACGGCTTCTCTCCAACGGCATGCATCCCATGGGAGGAAGCCCTCCCAGTGATATCTTCCGACCTCCGAGACCGTAGAGCTGGGTTATGAATTTTCCGGCTATCCCGGCGAGGAACCTCTGGTACTGGTCGACGGTGAACTGGGATGATCGGCCTGCAGGGAATACGTAATAATTCTCTAGGAAGTCGTTGGTCCCTACGCTCATCAGATACAACGCCTCGCTTAATATCTCGTTCGCCTTCCGCTCGCCAAGATATCGCCTCAATTTCACCTGGTAAGCCTTGTAGTACTCCAATTCCTCCCACAGAGGTATCACAGACTGCATTCACATGCATTTTCCGAATTATACATGCAAAAAGATCATCAGGCGACGTTTGACGTTTCAGAGAAGAGATTCATTGTTCATAAAGAAGTACTACTTACTAGCACGTTGGAGGTGGCATTGTCGTAGCCAGTTCCGGCTGACGCAAAATCAACTCCGGTGGCAAAATCTGTGATGTTATACATGGGATCCAAGTAGGCAGGAACGGTGGGCTTAACTCCAAAAGCCTCAGAGATGAGGTCCGATGGGATTCGGCCGTTGGAAAATCGTCCTGTGGGTTTTCCTCCAAGGAAATCACGACCGTAGGGCTTGAAGTTGCTCTTGAGGATGGTAGAGATCTGGTTGTTGTTCCCCGAATCGACGGAGGAGTCACCAAAGACGATGACAGCAGGGACTTTGGCTATGGTTTGCACTGCGAGAAGCAGGGTTTGAGAGAAGAGGAGCCATGGAGTGATCAGATGATGAGGTGCCATTTCTTGATTCTCGATTCTTCTCAGTCACTGCAGGAACATGACAAGGCCTGAAATTGGGGTGTGCATGTTGCCTTGGGGTTGGTACTTGAATTAAATTAAATACAAGTGAAGTGATGGATGAAAGCTTGACTACTGCGAGAAGTTCAACTAATAGGGTGGCGGGCTTTCTTAATTACTTGAATTCAATTGTTGCAAGCAAGAGAGTAGAGTATAGACCCAACATCACATGGGTAAGGAAGTTAGTCAGGACTCAGGATATTGTGAGGTGAGGGTTTCTTTTTAAATTTCCTATGACCTACCCAGTAAGGTGACGGGATCTGCTCCTCACTAATGGGCGCCTTACACGCACATCCACCGTGTATCGATAAGATGTACGAGAGATGTTCCTAATGCATGATAGGATGGTCTCCCCCGTACATATCGGGAGCGGATTAACTGGAGACAAAAACATTTACACCCAGCCTAAATATTTATCACTGGTTGAACACGCCAGTGTTCAGTACAATTGAGTCCCACATGAGGCCTTTAACGTGTTCAATTGTGATTGATAGTTCAGCTGAGTGTGTAACACTCCCATCTCATTTTATCGCCAGCTTTTAAGTTTTTGAGGCAGTGATGCATTGCACAGATGATATATACGACATATTTTGCATTTATCAGTCTCAGGGAAATCAATATTTCGAGCTATTTAGTGGACCGGGGTTGGACTGGCCAAGTGCCGGTTCGGCCGGGTTCCAGCCCATCTATCAATCATCTCCTTTTTGCTTGGAGTTGAACTTTGGGAATATCCTCCTATTTATATTTATGTGTTTTATTTCATGGTGAGATATTTTCAATACAAGGTTGTAAGAGGCTGTTTGATCAATGTGAGCATGAACTTATACTGATCAAAGCCGAATTCACTTCTTTGATTAAAAAAACGAATTTTAGAATTGAGGCTTAGGCTCAATTTGAAAGGAATATAAATATAAATATATATAATATAAATACATATAAAATAATACAAAATGTAAGATTTTACACCATATTTGTATTCGTACTCCTTCCAATTTAAAAGGAATACAAATATAAATATATAAAAAATAATATAAAATACAAGATTTTTCACTCTACATATGTATTGCTTCCAAATTCAGCCTGAGGAATTCTAATGAACGAACGAGTTTAGAAAAATTCTGTTTTTTTTTTTTTTTCTTTTAAGTATTTTCTGATCATGACCCATGAAAATACATGTCTTATACCGTAACTTTTCATGGATCCATTTATTGTATTCTGGGCAAAGTACCGAAGAGTTGCTCTTAAGGGTCGTACCGAAGAGTTTTACATAGAAAGAAAAGTACCAAAGGGTGGTACTGTAACTTTTTTATGTTTAAATAAACAGTCCAATGACCTTTAACTCTTGACATCCTGGTGGAAGTGCAGAGATAACTACATCATATGCCAACAAAGATGGATATACACGTGACTGGATCTGTTCCTCACAAATGAGCGCCTCACAGCCACATCCACCATGTATTAGAAACATCTCCCATGAATAATAATCATGGGAGATGTGCGTGTGAGGCGCTAGATATGAGGAGCAGATCCGGTCTGGATATACACAATCAAATACCTAAAACTTTTCCTCCAAAACAATCTGCATAGATATTAATCTGTGTAATAATAAACTAATCATAGAAAAAAAGCACTTATTTTTAAATTTGACCATTAGATGGGAGTGAGTATAGTAGGATGGTGTAAATATTGAATATAAACATTTTTGGTAGCAATGCAACACCAAACACAATACTCTCAAAACATAATAAAATATTTAAAACATAAAAAATAGTTATCAGCCCACACGACAGCTGTGTGGGTTGAATGGTTTGGCAGTTAGACCTTTTAGTTCATCATCAGTTCATGCTTATCAAATCGATGTTTTTTGCAAAGTAATGGACCAGGTGGTAAACAGATCCGGAAAGGTGGTTGTTACCTGGTTAAAGGTAAACTGCCCAAGTCAATGAAATTTTGAAAATATTGATACCAATAATGATGGTGCACGATCTGGTCGATCTTAGCTGTCAACGATCTTGCCTCTGAACTGAGTGATAGGGACCTGAAACGGAAGGAGAAGAGAAGCTCCAGGGAGAACCCGGCGTAAGGGCTCCGAAGCTCAAGTTAGAGTTTCTCAAAGGCAAGATAGACCAGATAGCGCAAAAGTTAGCATACCTCGTTTCTGGGGGTAGGAGCCTTTTATAACCACCTCGCGCACTCACTCCCAGGCTTCTGT